CGTTCCTTACATGCTTACTCGGAAGGATCTTTTTTTGCAGATTCTGCGCGGCTAGGTGTGATTTGGCGGCTGTCTGCCGTTTTCGCTGCTCTCTTTTCTACAAATCTCCTTTGCTTCATGGACCACCTTGAGCATTTCAATCAGGCTTTAGCTGCTTGCAAAGAATACCATCCAAATTATGAGAGGCAATGGGTAATCAAATGGGCGCTTGCGGTTGCCAATCTTGGAATTCAAACTGTTCACCCTGCCATCACTCTGATTCGCAAGGTTTCGCCCTAAACAGAAGGGGGTTGAAACTAGAGAGTCTTCTGGGGCACCCGCCCTCGGCAGCGATGGCAGCCGGTGATGCGTAGTTCAGGCAATTGCTGCTGCACAGTGCTGTCACTTTCCTCAATGGAAGCTGGCCAGCAGCAAGTTTCTTCCATTGCATGAACACTTTTTGGCCTGGTTCACCCAGGCTTTTTTTGTTACAGTGTACATATTTCGAGCACCAAAACTTGGTTAAGAGACTCATGGTGCCGCGTGAAGTGCAGTGTCTTGGTCGGACCTTGCCCAGACAGAGCCGAGATCAAAACATTGGCCACGTTGGTAATGCATTCCCGCTGGGGATTGTTTGCTATACATATTGCAAGTATCTACGGTCGTTCCAAAAGAGTTGCCCCTGATCCACCTCTGGGGCGGCATGGCAGGCATGTGCATGTTCCCAATGATCCATACTCCGGACTCCTGACATTGAGGATCATTGAGGTGTCCATCCTCACATATGTATTTATATATGTTACACACACACATTTTTTTTTCTATAGTTTATGCAAACACACATATATACATATACAGTATACATATATATATATATACACACACACACAATCGATGATAACTCCTCCAAATAAAAGTTTCGACCCATGGAACTTCCGAGCGCTTTTTCGGATCCTATGGCAGGAGATTCGCATCTCGCAGCTGCAACGACGGCCCGACTGGGGCGTGTCGCTGGTGACGCCTCCCGCGACGGCGGGGAATTTCATGGAGATTCAATCCTGTGATCATATGAGCTATGGTCAATACTCATGGTTAATAACCATTAATAGGGGCTAGTCATCCAATGGTCCATAGGGATTTATAATAACCATCAATCCCCCAAAAGATCGAATTTCGTCAAACCCGTTTTTAAAATCGTGATCTGTTTTTAAAATCGTGATACAGGTACTTTCTGGTATCCTTATTTTGACTATAGATGGTTCATACATATACACAATAATGAACCCTTTATTTGTGGTTGGTGGTTAAGATTTGCCCTTAACAAGGGAGAGTTGGTTGAATTCCCATGATACAAAACCAATCATCATGGGGGTGTAATGGGACACACACACATACATATATATATATATGTATGTACATATGTATATATATATATATATATGTGTACACATATATATATACATACATATACATACAACCTGTATGAACCAGTAAAATTATACTTGGGTTTGTCTGGAAATGAGGGATACTTTATTTTATGACGGTTTTGATAGAGAACATTTGGATAAACCATGGTATTTTGGGGTACCCAATTTTCAGGCGCCCTTTCAAAGAGACTGACAAAGTGATGAATGAACTGATGGTGGACATATTTGTCTTTGTCCAAAACTAAAGCTACCTTTAAAACCATTATATAGATGGCAACTAATGGATTCTTTTTTCCCACTTATATCTAAAATGGAGAGATTTGGAGATTTTCCACGATTTTTCCACCATGTTTCCACAACTAATGGTGAGATTTTCCATGATTTACCATAGATGGCTTGAAATCCCCCAGGATTTCACCGCAGGTGACGCTCTCAGAGGTGCTGCGTCACCTCGCCTCCCGCGGCTACGCGCGGCTGGGCTTCGGCGCCGGCGCGGCGCCGTGGCGGCGCTGCGACCTGACGGCCGAGGCCTTCGCGTTGGTGGCGGGGAACGCGGAGGCGGGGGGATGGGAGGATGGGATGGGAGAAGTCTCGGGAGAAGTTCACCAAGAGTAACATTTTGGAATGAAATCATGGGATACTTTTACTATAGAGTTGTTGTTGGGTTTCATTGACTGTAAAAGGATTTAAAAGTGGAATATGGTATGACATACGTGATGGCTCATGAAAATTAGGGCTATAACTTTGCCCAATTCATGGGACTTTCAACTTCAAACACTGATGATCACAATTTTCCCAAGTACTAGTAATTTAGACATGACCTCCAAAAAAACAATAGGTATGACACCCCCACTAAAGAGACGGTGGTTCTGGTGGTAATTGATAGTGAAGGCTATGTATATATATATTATTATTGTATAGTTCTGTATGACCCTATGTATCTACATCTATGATGGCTTAGGGTATACCGAGACTGTGCTAGGGCCAAGGAAAAATCATATGTACCTACATATATATATACATATATATACACATATTCATAAGGTGCACATTTTATGGCATTTTCTGATAGTTTCTTAGATTCCGCCAGAGTTTCAGGACTGAAACGAAAAGATGATGTTGTGATGAAATTCGATGACGCCTTCTGAGATTATGTTTAAATTCTGCAAGAGTTTATGCGTGTTCACGATGTGTTGATGGGGGTAAGGCTGGCAAAAAAATGTTGAACCAACAAACACAGGGAATGACACATTATTTTTTAGCCAACAACATATATTATATTCAGATATCAATGGGGTGAACCAAATCCCTATATTCCTGCAAATTTGATCAAGGACCAGATTCCACGTGCCAATAAATGATGCAGACTTTTGGGGTTTTGGGTTTATGGTAATTTCTTTGGGGTATCCCCCTATGAATCAACCAGGGACTATGAATAGGGGTAGATTATATAAGGCTTTTGAGCACAGTATGAAAGGATTCATCTGGTCGTAATGTAGTTGGTTGACCTCCAATTAGTAGTAGGGTCTCACATATGTTCCAACATATACGTCAACTATCACCAGTTGATAGCCCACTTTTCCATGCTTTCTATAGTTTTTTCAACGTGATAGTCAAGATATGGAGTATGTTTGGGGCATCATTGTTTTCTCCCCTTCCCCCAAAATATATGTGTAGTTTTATTTAAATCCGCTAGACACAGGATTTAGTAGAGGCTCTATTAATCTTTGGGTTTGTCTGAAAATAGGCTAGTGGCACCCCAAGAATTGATGGGACAATACCTCAGTTTCCCCACTGTTTGATGGCCATAGCTTCCAGCAATCAAACATGGCTTGCTGGAATCTCCTCTATTTGGTTCTATGATTTTTCCCATTAAAACCTACATTGATTCTTGGGATTTCCAAGCCAACCATGTTTGATTGACGAAGGGTATCTTTCATGATTCATGGTGATCTTTTCACCATATTACACGGACAATACGTAATATGGCAGTTAATTTGCCATTAATGTCTCATTCTTTATTGTTATCAATAATTCACACTTGTTAATCATTATTGACCGGTTGTAGTCCCATTTACAGTCCCAAATTATTATATAGTTTAACCATTAATAATAGATAATTAATCCACAACAACGATTATGAAAACCATTGTGCTCACCCATTGATTATGGCAACAATTGACCATTACTCACCAGTATTGGTGGTATGAAAGCAATTTTTAGACCTGGATGCCACCAACCCATTATTATCGATTATTCTCAGTGACATGTCAGTCTTGCATAGCTCCACTATGCCATTCATATCCCATGATTTTGTCCCATTACTGTTGCTTATTCCATATGCCATATCATCATTGAATAGTCTTGATTATAATCATTTTCCTATCATCATTCTTGATAGGAATTACACTTGCTATCGTATAGATGTCATATCCCAGGTCTCCAGAAATATTTCCCCCAATCATATTGATTGGATTGGTTTAAGGGAAAATTTACAGGAAACCATAGATTTTCCCATTAAATATGGGGCTTTCCTGCAGATTTTCCCTTAAACCAATCTATTGACATATGCCATTCATACCATGTCATCCTAGGTCAATGCCGCAACGCCGCGACCCAGGAGTCTTTGGAGCTGGGCGCCCTGCCCTGGCACTTGGAGGATGGCCCGCTGCCGCACGCCGTGGCGATGGTGCTCTACGAGCGCCGACGGCAGATGGCGATGAAACAAAAGATGACCGGCCACCGTGGGGAGAGCACTTGGATGATATGGATGATATGTTTTTTTGATGATGGGATGATATAATATATCATATAATGGATATCAGAATCATATCCATAATGATATATCATTACAATGGATATTATGACATGATATAATTATGATGATATCGTATATAATGATGGGATGATATTATCTGTTTATTATGGATATGATATATGACCAAGCATGATGCAGGACTCTCCTTAATGGATGGACTTAGTGCGTGATGGCTTTTGGTGCACCATGGATGCCGTTAATGATGGGTAAGTAGCCCCAAGTGGCTGAATTCATTTCAGGTTGGTGAATTACGACATAATTTGGCCAGATTTGGAATGGTTCACTTTTAGTCTGAGAGATGGATGGAAGGATAGTTCTTTGCGATCCTTTTTTTTGAACTGGGAACGTTATCCAAACCGACGATGCATCTTTTTGAACACAATATCCGCAAAAACATGGTCTGTTCAAAGGATGCAATGCTCAAAAACAACGGTGTTGAACGAGTGAGTTGGCCGATTTTTGGGCGGCAGAATGCAAAGAACTTCAAACACCTTCAGATCTAAGTTGCATTACAGCACCCCTCAAGAAGATGTAGAAAGGCAGCATCCTCCTAAATCAGTGGTGGTTCACTTTTCTGCATCGTTTTGGGCAGCCAGATTCAACACTCTCCAGAAGGGATAGCGAAGGAAGACCTCCCTGGGGGGGAAAAGTCCCCAATGATGCCCAATTCTTGGGAAACTGATCATCCAATTTTGAGGTACCTTTTTTTCAATGCCCCACATGATCATTTTGATCATGTACCTATCACATCCCACGGCATTTGATGCACCTGGTAGGTGGCTTGGAAGCTTTAGAGTTCAATGACCTGCGCGAGGCTGGTGGATGCACGAACTTAGCTTAGGACTTTCAGATGTTTACCGACCATGGCCACCACTGTTGAGGGTCAACTTCTCAGTCGGGGTTCCACCTTGCAAGGTCATTCAAGCTTCACAGCAACAGGGATATCGTGGATGGTGTCAGATCATCTATCTGGATGATTAAGGCCCCAACTGGCTCATATTCATCAGATTCATGATAGTCATATTCATCCTTATTCATTCTATTCATCATACTCTACCGTATATACTCTACCGTATATAATGTACATATATATATATATATATTGCATGGGTTGAAACCATATCATCTGTCATATTTTTGGTGGGTCGAAATCGTTGAAGCGATGTGCTTCACCTTCCCCGGTCAGGCTGCTGCGGATGAAGGATCCTTCCTTCGCTTGGCCGAAGAGCGGCTGGAGGCCGTGGGTCTGCCGCCGTTCAGCGAGGGATGGGGAGTTCACCCAGCAACCCGAAACAACTTGGCATTCATTGTGGGGATGCGATAAAAAGGCACCATGGTTATCCATGGTTTTCCATTTGACACCTGTGATACTTGGGTTTGTATGAAAATGGGGAGCTCCAAATTGTGATTCCAATGGGGAAAATAATAAACGATAGAGTGATGAAGCACATTTGATAGGGGGGTACCCTGTTTTTAGACAAAGCGACACACCCAGGTTGATTTTGCCAACAAAAGTTTGTGAAAGATCCAAGAAACATGGGTGGGGGATCGCTTCCGGCCTACCAATACTATCATTGATCGGTTGACTGACAATTCTGAGAGGTACAAGCACCCAGACATTAACCAATCCATATGGGACATCCACTCCATTTTTTTGGTTCATTTTCTCCCAGAATTGGTTGAAGTGACAATTCTAAGGACGCTTCAATCTATATTTTCATTTTCGTCATATTCATCATTTTCATAATTTTCATCATGTTCATCATTTTCATCATTTTCATAATTTTCATAATTTTCATCATTTTCATCATGTTCATCATTTTCATCATTTCATAATTTTCATCATGTTCATCATTTTCATCATTTTCATAATTTTCATAATTTTCATCATTTTCATAATTTTCGTAATTTTCATCATGTTCATCATATTCATCATTTTCACAATTTTCATCATTTTCATCATGTTCATCATTTTCATCATATTCATCATTTTCACAATTTTCCTGTTGCACCAGCCAGAGCCCCTCCGCCACAAACACTGGAGGAGCACCTTGCTTTGGATAAAGAAATCACGGGCCCATACACGAAGACAATTTGGGAAGGCCTTCTGTAATCTCTAAACAGCCTTTTCCTTGTAATGTTTGTCTTCTCTCTTTCGTTCTGTATCAGTACAAATGCTTCAACGCGTCTCTTCAGCTTTCATCTTAACATCTTGCCTCTTTCATCTTTCTGACGATCAGCTGATACATTTTCCATCGTTATCATTGCCTGTCTTCTGCTTATAACGTACTTCTCACGTACTTTTTTACAGTGTGTAAATACTTACGCTCCTGAGTAACTTGCTCCTCTATGCTCTCGGGCCATCCGTCGTCTAGTTTTCATCATTTTCATCATTTTCATCATTTTCTTCTACATTTGGGTTTCAAAGAAAAACATGGGTTCCAGTCAAAACACCTTTGTAATCCATGGATTTCCCCACCGCAGGTGGCACAGCCGGAGGACGGAGATCTGCTGGGAGCTGGGGCTTAGCTAAGTGGCGAGTTGATTGGGTTGATCCAGAAATGGGGAGAAATTGTAGCCAAATAAATATCCAGAATTGGCATTGGTAGCATATCCATTAGGATATTCCAATGCAGAAAATGGGTTTGATTAACCAGAAGTGGTTGGTCTATCCAGAAGTGGTTGTGTGTACCCCATGGGAAAAACATGGCATGGTATTTGTTTTCAAGTCACCATTGACCATGGTATACCGCAAAATTGCTCTTTGATTTTTTTTGAATGGGGAGAATGATGATGAACCAGGCGGAATAAGGCAACTTGCTTTCACACCCATATTGGGTTACAAATGGTTACAAGTATCAGCCCTGAATTTAACTGGGATGTATCAAGGGATGTATGGGGTTGTGTCAAGGTTCAGAACCCTAAAATTTACTGAAAGCAGGGCTGTGAGCGCCGATTTTAATCAGCATTTCTTTTTTTGTGATACTTTGTGTTCATCTCTTCTTTGGCACCCTTTCCTACACACATAGTAGAAGAACAGACTGTCACATACAAATGAAAGAAAAACATATGGGGCAAGACCATTCACGATTTCCATACTACATCACGCTCAGGCAAGGAACACCTTTAAAATACATGGGGCTCACACTTTTTCAAGGTCCGATCAAATTTTGTTTCGGTTTAGAAACTGCCACTTCCCCCAAACTTGAAATTGGTGGAAACTTTCCTCTTTGTAGTGCTTTTCGGATGCTCAATGCAGCTCTCCTGAAACTTTTCGTGCACCCAGCTTGCAGGACGCAGGTGCTAACAACAGCGCTGGAGAGAAGCTTGGCTCTGAAGGCAGTGAATTGATCCAAGAGATTCCACTGCACATGTAACATGCGGACGGATTGAGATTCGTTGGAGCAGCCAAGGGTTCCAAAACAATGTGGAAGCTGTTGAAGGTGACTCCGAACTGAGGAACCGGGGAACTGATCGCTTGATGGAGTTCCTCACCGGTGGCCTGAGGAGACTCCCTTTGTTTTTGTTTTTAGCGGGTGTGGATATGGCAGGATGTAGCACCACGGCATTTTGGGGGCCACATAGTTCCCATTTCATGATGGTTTATGATACGCACACAACATCTTATAACTATAGCCTTGATAGGGTTTATGAAGCCCACCACCTGCAGGTGATGATGATGATGATGATGATGATGATGATGATGATGATGATTCAATCTTGATGATTCGGTGATGATGTTTCAATGATGATGATTCAATGATGTTGACTCAAAGATGATGATGCAATGATGATGATTCAATGATTGTGTTTCATTGATGATGATCATTTTTATTAATTAATTGTAAACCATCCAATTTGGGGCGGGCACCTTATTTTCAGAAAAAAACATGGGTTCATCGGGATTTCATAAAGACCCCTACCTTTCTTCGGCCACCTATTTGGGTGGGGAGGTGTCGTCATGGATTTCCCATGATCAAAAAATAGCACCCAGACGACAGCCTTGTGCAATGTCTCGGATCTATGTCTTGGGCTCCAAACATTGGGGGTACCGGCAATCAAAAATGGCAATGGACAATCCTCCATGGATGATTTTGCCACTAGCACTTTCATTTATAGGCATTCCAAGTACCATGTTTGACTACCGAAAGGTATACCTGATATGATCTGGGGATGGGAGTATGACCAGTGACTGATCTGTGGCTCTGTGCTTTGCAGGGTGACATGACCCTTAGCCACATTATGGGGAACATGTTTGTCTAAAACATGGAATCTTTGGTTAAATTTGCGACACCCCTAAATGGAGTCGAATCGTTGATCATTTCACGCCATTGGCTATCAATTCATTTAGAGATAGAATGCCCATTTCCAAAAAAAATGAGTAGCCTGCAAATGAAAACCTGGTGGAATGAAAATTCTTCACTTTTGGGTCCCATTTCTTGGGAGTGCCTAGCAGGATCGATGGGATTAACTCTGTATCCATATAACAATAACCAATGGGCTTATATCCAACTATATCCCAGGTGTAGGGGATCATACTCAGGGTGATTCATCATGTGGTACGATGGGATTGTCCCAGGAAAATGCTCATTTTTTAAAGGAAAACTCCACCATTTGTAGATCATTTTGTAAGGAAACCATGGGTCATAGGATTGCCATATCAGTGTTAATTTATGGGAGGTTGTATCCCACTTATGTCCTTATCACATCCCAACTATATCTTTATCCCACTTGTATCCGCATTATAGTTTTTAGTTATCTTTATAATTCTTTATATGTATATATATATCTCCAATATATCCCCAGTATATCCAATATATCCCCAGTATATCCAATATATCCCCAGTATATCCCCATCATATCCCCATCGTTTCACCATTGCCACGTCTCGCAAGGACCCATCGAGAAGGGGCGACGAACGCGCCCTGGGACTGTCAAGTGGATGCACCTCGGCGAGACGATTTTTCAGAAAAGCCGGGGTGAAGCAGCAAAATTGGGGATTTAACATAGGGCTACCATGGAAATTCATGGGATACCCTCTGACTAATAGGTAAATCATAGGTAAATCACCTATAGATGGGCCAGTGATGTGAATGGTGGTTTTTGAATCTGGGTAAATTTCATCACGACCTCACTACGACCGAAACCTGGAAATCATGGTTAGTAAGGGAAATCTTCCCCAAATGGCCTTAATTCAGGTTAGTGAAATATTATAATTTACCCAGATAAATCCAATATTATAGTTCAATGGATTGGTTTAGGGAAAATTCAAAGGAACCCCCATCTTTCACTGGAAAATGGTTTCCGGTTAGGATTTTCCCTTGAACCAATCCGTTGAATAGGGGTATCAATGGGAAAATCACCGATAAATGGGGATTAACAAACATGATTTTTCATGACATTTCATGGATATAGAATGAGATATCATAGGGATACCCTCTGGTTATTTAACATTGCGAACTGGAAAATCACAATGTTCAATATGTAAATCATCTATAAATGGGCCATGTTCCACGGCTATGTTAAATGACCAGAGGGTATCATGGGAAAATCCTCTGTAAATGGGAATTTGATGTGAATCAATGACATTCATGCATATAGAATCTAGAATGGGATTTCATAGGGATATACCCTTTGGTAATTTGTTAAATAGCTATGGTAAAGCCATGGCCCATTTATAGATGATGATATATGATCATACATGGTGACATGGAGCATCAATACTGGAAACCCAGGTTTTTGTGGGATGTACCTTCCGTAATCCAAACACTGCTGGCTGGGAAATCCTGTATAAGTATAATATATTTATGTATAAATGGAGGTTTCTAGCTGGGTAATTCGTCTATAAAAGTTTTTTTTTTTTTGCATTGCCATGTTTGATTACCAGTTGGTATTGGATATAATTTTGTATACAGGGATATATTGAGAGATCATTATTATTATTATTATCATTATTATTATTATCATTATTATTATTGCATGCTCATTGATATCGACCTCATCCACCGACTATAGCAACTCAAGCGTTTTTCTTGGACAGGGGGAATCGAAGCTGGCCAACGTCAGAGGATGAATCCCTTGAATTTCACCAAGCGAAGTCCTTTTATCGGGGCGCCATGGAAAAACCAGGCATCAATTCACAAGGGCAACTCCAAAATCTCATGCGACAAGCATTTTTCCAGCATGTCCATATCCTGAGGGCCCATTCTCATCATTCTCCATCTTTGGACAAACGTTTGCAGGGATGGCCAGCCCAAAGTGTTTTAGTCCGCGGAGAACATTTCTGCACCAAAAAACGATCTCCAAGAGATAAGGGATACCCACGCATTTTATTTTCCAGCTCAGCTAAAAGACAAAACATATCTATGTTTTTTGGATCCATTTTGTTTGATCCCTTCATTTTTCTTGGTGCCTACCCCCTTGTAACATGGCTGCGGAGAATGGCGCCAAACAAAGCCAGGTGCTTTTGCGATGGCAAGGTGCGCCGTTGAACGAAGAGCGTTTACAACGGGCTGTGGATTTGGTCATCCAACAGCAACCCATGCTGCTCCTTGGTCAAGGGTGATGGTTAGTGGGGTGCATCGTCCCATTTTATGGGCTTATGTAGTGAATCAACTGTAATAGCAATAGCAATAGTAATAATAATAGTAATAATAATAATAGTAATAATAATAGTAATAATAGTAATAATAATAGTAATAATAATAGTAATAATAATAGTAATAATAATAGTAATAATAATAGTAAGAATGATTCAGAATGATAGTAATAGTAATAACAATAGTAATCATAATAGTAATATCCAGTATATACCAATTACTTAATCTGATCTCGGATTCGTCACGTCTCACCTGGAAAGGGACGCAAAGGGACCTCGTTGATGAATGAAGGTACTCAAACGTGGCATGAATCTGGAAACCCCACGGTTCTGAAAGATTCGTACAGTTACTGAAGCTGAAAACCATGGTTTTACCATGGTTTTTCCATGGTTTTACCAAGAAAGATATGGTTTGACCATGGTTTTACCATGGTGTCACCAGTGGTTTACTATGAACGTTTCGTATTCACCATGGCTTCGACAAAACGTCGTCCGTTTTGATCAAGCTCTCGGATCGACAACACCGAGGCGTGCATGTGTCCCTCCAGACGACCCTTGGTGCGCAGTTAGGGTCAAGACTGACACAGGAAACAATGCAATTTGTTGGCTATATATATATTTAATGTATATATATATGGCCATATTGGACTGTGAAAGCGGATATTGGTGGCTTGAATTGATTGAAATCCCAGCAGTTTGTGGTTCATGCTTTTTGCTGGTGAAACCATCAACTGTTTGGCAACATTTCCATTCTTACTTCACGCTTTTTCATCGTAGCCATTTTTTTAATTTCATTTGTTTTGGCGAGAGTTTCGCTATTCCCAGTTAAGCAACCCCAGTTCACCAACCACCGTAGTTGCTGACCTCTATTCCCTTAAAAAAAATCATGTCAACCCTGGATAAATAATCTTCCAGGCTGTTTAATTAGGGGGGTACCAATTAAGCACTAGAGTATCCACTACTTGGGAGTATCCGGGGTTGACATTAATTATTCAATAAAGTTGTGCATATCCCAACCCTTAGGTGTGGCTCGTTTCAGGACAGCACCGACTTACTTCTGGGCTCCCGCAACAGTGGCTTCTCGACCACGGCAGGGGGGACCCAGTTGCGGAGGTGTAGAGTTTGCCCTGGAAGTTGAAATCCTTCCAGATGTCCTTCTCCAAAAAAAGGCGCTTTTGCTCCCAAGGTATGAAGGTATGGCAATCTGATTGGAAGGAACGATCAATACATAATTCAGCTTTTTGGGGCCGCATTTTTTCAGACAGACTCATATGTTTTTGTCGTGACTAATAGTGAGTGCTAGTGGCTATTTATACTAACTTGCGGATTACTCAAAGTTAAGAGTTAAATGTTGAGGTCAGCATCACTATGACACAGGTTGATGGTGTATATTTGGTGGTGAATTCTTGAGCTTCAGCGGTCAATGATTGTGTTCTCGCCAAGTATATATATAATATACATATATACATATATATATATATATTGGATATATATATATATTGGATATATATAAAATATGACCCCAGAATTCACCACCAACTTCACCTTGTAGACTCGCACAGGTGGCTGCCAGCTGGTCGTTGCTGAATGAGCTGAACTTCTTGGAGCAATGGCCGAAGGCCATGGCGGCCATCGGCCGTTTCAGCCATGAAAAATCTCAGCTCAAAAACGATCAACTGGTTGAGTCTTGGGTATGGGTCAATACCTATAGATACCATTTTTAGTGGGATGAACATCCATTTACCAGCTATTTTGGGGTTCACTAGGTGCCAGGGTTTTGACCCATCCCCTCTTATGAATGGCTTAGACTTATAAAACTTTGGGATCTGACATCATTCGGTGAAAAAACATATGGCCTAGTCGTATAATTGGGTACCCCAATATTGAATGGTTTATTACTATTGTTATATTCAAATATAACCGACATAAGCATTTTGGAGGTCCACCATTGACAAAGCCATAATCAGACCTGAGTCCAGTCCAAGAACTTGGATGCAACCAACAATTGGAACATCCAAGAAATGCACCAAAAGTGAGGATAATTAATCATGAAATATTGTGAGTCAACAAGATGAAAAACACCAAATGGGGGATACAGGCCAATCGATAGCTTGACATATGCCAAATGTTCACACGCATCAGTTTGTATATTTCCATTTTAAGGGTTGCAACTCATTTGTTTGGTGGGAAAATTGCCTCATGAGGAAATCGTGATCACTGAAGAAAAACAGATGTCCCAAAGAAAATCCATTAGTCTCAGCGCATCACATCGTCAAGACAACCTCCATGACGCTCATTGTCAGGGTTGGAGTGCAACCCACCACAAACGTGTCTGGATTGGCCAGGGATCAATGGGATGTCGTTGGTTATACAGTGTATATAAATTATATATGTATATATAAGATATGTATGTACGTGTATATATATATAGATAGATAGATAGATAGATAGATAGATACATAGATAGATAGATAGATAGATAGAGATATCCCATGTTATATTAATGCCAGGCTCCTTTACATGTAATCCCCATTGAATCCCCATTGAATTATGGTGAAAAGTCACAACTTGACCACCTCTGATCAGGTGCGAAGAGCGGTGGCAGAAGCTCAGTTTCAAGCCATATCCCTGGGCGTTGGTTGATGATTCAACCGTGCTTTTAACCATCAAACATAGATAAAAATAGTGGATATAACTGATAAATGTTGGTAGATATCAATTGTTTAGTGGATATAACTGATAAATGGTGGTTGATGATTAGTGCGCTTAATTTTGATTTCAGTGTTTCAACATATGGGGAGATCCATGAAGTGCGCAAGCACATGAAGTCCTGGGATTTGAGCAGTTTTTGGACTGGAAAGCCCCTTTTGTGGGTTGCCGTTGAATCTAACCATCCGTTGCATTTTATACCATGGGATCGGAGATGAACCAGGCTCTCTTGGTCGACATCATGCAGTTTTTTTTTGCGAACCAAGCTGAAGCTCAGTGATCCACTAAGGGAGCCATTTACCTCTGCTGGCCGCGCACGTTTATTCGATCTGCAAATGCCTTCAAGATTCCCAAGTTGGCAAAGATGCTTGTTGGCGTTGTTGGCGACAGTGTACTTTCACCCAAGGTGTTCAAGGAGGGTTTTACCTAGTGCAAGCTGAGTAAGTGGGGCATGGTACCTTACACGCCTTACAACATCTTAGTGCTGAAATGTGTGAATGGATATGCGGCAGGGGGATTTTTGATGATTTTTGCAAGACTAGTTGTAGGTACACGTTTCTGTTCATCGTCAATCCATTCTTGGGTATGTCCAAGAATGGAGAACGGAGCACGATTTCCCGTTCCTCACATGTTGTTCTTTGAGTATCATTTTCCCCATTTTCACATGATTTCCCGTTCCTCACATGTTATTAGACATGTTGTAGACTGGTCCTCCTTGACATCCTCATCGCAGACGTGGTGGTCTGGTCATCAACAGGGATGATGTGAAGCGCTGACATTCGGAATGTGAAGCCCTGTGAATCATCTTGGATTTACCACATTTTACCCCCATCTTTTGCTGGTTCAATCCCCTTGCCCCCAATCAATTTGATGGTAAAGACATGTAAAGACCAGCCGTTGTGTCTGGTTAAGATTTTGCCAACAAAAAAAAAACCATTGAATCACAGGAAGACATCTTCATCACACTGATGTTTCACCATAGAATCTCCACGAGTTACACCGCCATGCCGCCATGGAAAGCAGGCCGAAGAACAAGATGACTGACAGTTTTATCAGACTTGAGATCTCCTTGCCAAGTGGACGGAGTGAAATTGTCGCGGTTTCGCAATACGGCACCATTGCTGACGTGAAAGTAGCGGCGCAAAGGTGTTTCGGGCAGCGTTTCCTGAGGCTTGCTGCGCCTGATGGGCGTCTTTTAGATCCAACAGACTCTCTTTCACTTTCTAATTTTCAAGATGGAGACAGCCTTGCTGCTGTTGCACTGCAGCCAACGATAGCTGCAACTCGGATGGCGTTTGCTATGGGCTGTGTTGGAGGCAACAGAACTGTCACATGGGGCCATTCCCTTGGTGGTGGCTCCTTTGGGAGGAGCACCGCCATCAGACATCAGCCCAGCAACATTCAGCAGATTTGTGCCACAGGCTATGCATTTGCTGCTGTTTCGGCAGATGGAGCTGTGATGACATGGGGCGACGGCATCTATGGTGGTGACAGCTCCAGAGTCCAAGATCAGCTCAGAAATGTTCAGAAGATTTTTGCCACAGATTTCGCTTTTGCTGCGGTTTTGGCAGATGGAACTGTGGTGACATGGGGCGATGCAGAAAATGGTGGTGACAGCTCCAAAGTCCAAGATCAGCTGAGGAATGTTCAGCAGATTCTTGCCACAGGCTTTGCCTTTGCTGCTGTCTTGGCAGATGGAAGCGTGGTGACATGGGGCACTGCAAGCCATGGTGGTGACAGCTCCAGAGTCCAAAGTCAGCTGAGGAATGGTCCGCAGATTTGTGCAACAGACCATGCTTTTGCTGCGGTTTTGGCAGATGGAACTGTGGTGACATGGGGCGATGCAGAAAATGGCGGTGACAGCTCCAGAGTCCAAGATCAGCTTAGACACGTTCAGAAGATTTTTGCCACAAACTATGCTTTCGCTGCGGTTTTGGCAGATGGAAGCGTGGTGACATGGGGCGATGCAAAACGTGGTGGAAACAGCTCCAGAGTCCAAGATCGGCTGAGGAATGTTCAAAAGATTTTTGCCACACGCTTTGCTTTTGCTGCTGTTTTGGCAGATGGAAGCGTGGTGACATGGGGCACTCCAAGCCATGGTGGTGACAGCTCCAAAGTCCAAGATCAGCTTATACACGTTCAGGAGATTTGTGCTACAGAAGGTGCTTTTGCTGCGGTTTTGGCAGATGGAACTGTTGTGACGTGGGGCATTGCAGGCAATGGTGGTGACAGCTCCAGAGTCCAAGATCAGCTGACAAAAGTTCAGCAGATTTGCGCTACAGAAGATGCTTTTGCTGCAATTTCGGCAGATGGAAGCCTGGTGACATGGGGCAATGCAAAACATGGTGGTGACAGCTCCAGAGTCCAAGATCAAATTAGCCACTTGTAGTTGGATGCCAGTGCAAAAGAGAGCAGCAGAAATCATCCAGGAAGGAGGTTGGAACTTGGAACTTGGAACCACAGAATCCATGGTGGATGGTCAACATGATTAATCGATCTTGTGGCTCCTACTCTGCAAACTAAGATAGGCTATGGAAAAAAACACCTTTTGTAGATCATTTGTTAGGGAAATCATGAATTCCACGCCTAGACATATCTAGACATATCTATGTTAGTTTTACGGGAGAGTATCTCAATTTTGACCCATAGCATTTCTTGAGTGTAAGGGGGTTGAAGACAAATATGGCTCTGAACATGGGGACAAAAACACCTCTATCCCCCATGGTATTCCATCATCCCATTTTTACAGGACATAAAATCTTGGAAAGACATTTTGTTCCCGAATTTTGGATGATGGAAAATGGTTTGCAAAACATTTTATCCTGTCAATGATGGCAAATCTTGGATGATGAACCCCGGCACTGGTGTTTTTTCCCCTACCCTCTGGTAAACGTTTACAAAAAACTATGGAAAGATCCATCGTGCTATTAATGGGAAAACTAACTATTTCTATGGCCATTTTCAATAGCTATGTTAAATTACCAGAGGGTATATCCTATTAAATCCCATTAAATCCCATTAAATCCCATTAAACCACCATTTTCCTATGGTTTTCCTATGGGCCATTTATAGTAAAGTCAAAGTCCCTACTTTTGCCCCAGGACCACTTCGAAGGATTCCAAAAATCTGGCAGATGAAGTCTATGGCACCGTGGCGGGGTCTAGCTGGCGGCCCCAAGGGCAATGGGCAATGCCCCTCGGAAATGGCTGTTCAAATGGGAAAAACATGGGAAAAACCATGGGAAACACGATAAATCCCCCTAATGGGCATTTTTTCATGGGAACATTATCTATACAGTGTTGGACTTCCCAAAAAAAATGAAAATATGACTACCAGGGGGTAACCAAAGTCAAATGGTTCAAAAGTGCTGCAATCTCTTCCTCCTTATTGAATACGCCTGAGAAGGGATCCCAAAATGAATAGACACTACCTTCCATCAGGGTTTCATTTCATCATTAGCTGATCCCTGAAACCCATCGCCAGCCGTTTTGATGGATTTTGATCAATTCCCAAAGGTTTCAGTATCATTAAAAAATCCTATTTTGTTGCCACTCTTTTCCATTTTGTTCAATGTTTTTCCACTTTTCCCACCATTTTCCCATCTTTTTCTCATTCTTTCCATGACATTCCCATGGTCCTGGTCTTGTTGCTGAGGAGTCATGAATGAATCCGGATGGGCCTGGTGGAGGTCCGATTCCTCTTTGAACATGCCGCTGGGACAGCGGGACGTCTGTGATCGGTCGGAAAACAATTTGCATGTTAGACATCTGATGGTGTAACAGTGTAACATGGAAAAGTGGAAAAAAAAATGGGCTTAAAAAGGGCTAGAAACTGTTTGAAACCAACATTTAAGTGTTGAAACCATTTTTCCAACTTTAGAAACCAACTCTACGACATTTCATTTTCAAAAGTCATAGAGTTGAAACCCAAAAATCAGATTGCTTCGTTTCTTATGGCTAGAGTGGTTGAGAACATCATAACCGAAAAAGAAATCGGGAGATTTTCGGCGGCAAAAAATATGGGGCGAACCTTGGTGAAGATGACTGGGGGTTTCCATAGTCATGGGGCCACCCCAATAGCTGGATGGTTTGGCTAAGGGAACATCTATAAATGGATGAGAACTGGGGGTAGCCCCAAAAAAATAGGAAAGCTCCATATGGTTCATTATGTTAATGATAGTTTCCCCAATGAAATTGGACACTTGATGATCTTTTTCTGGTACCCTAAGGCGCCAGGTTTTTGGATCCTGAAACCTCGACCGAGGTGTCTGATCCACTTGGAAAAGAACTCGGAGGTGACGTCATGTGTTTATTGCAGCGTGACTCACAAGTGCCTCGACGTTTGTTTGAAAAGCGCGGGACCCCGGGACTGGTAGAAGTCTTATGTTTTCGTTGAGCAAAACACAGGGCGAACGTTTGATGATGTTTGGTTTCATCAAGGCTGAAGACATCACCAAGATAATGCCCCGAACCGCCGGTTGATCGTTTGGTGCTACAATATACCAAATGGTTCACTGCGGGATTCTAATCATTCTAATCCACGAATCGGCAACCCTTATCAACCTACCAGCAGGTTCGGGGTTGGAAGGTGAACTGGACACTTAGTTCATTTGCCGTGTTGGACTACCGGCCCCATCATTTCCACTATGTGTGGAGATGGTACCATGTTAGTGAATCAAAATATCATAAAATATCGAACATAGCCATTCATAGATGTCTTCACACCAGTTGTTGAACTCCCCATCGAATCACTGTTTTGGCCGTTGAAATCACCCATCTAATCGCCGTCGCGCGGCCCGAGGTACGCCGACGGCGGCGCGGTGGCGGCCTTCGTGACAGCGCTGAGCGAGGCGTATGCCGTGCTGGAGCGAGGGGAGATGCCCAGCGGTGCCTTGGATCAAACAATCTGCTGGGTTAATCAACTATATAATATACCCTCTGGTAATTTAACATAGCTATCGAAAATCACCATTTTTCATGGGAAAATTCACTATAAATGTGGTATGTTCAATAGTTATGTTAAATTACCAGAGGGTAGTTAATGACATATATATATATATAATGGGTTAACAGGGGTTCAGACTCAATAGTTGATATTATTAATATATATATATATATCACATATAAATAGTTAATGATAATTAATATGAAATATATAGGTTGAACAGTAATGGTCGAACAGTAATATCAACTGTATATTAACTATTAGTGGTTCAGAATCAGTAGTTAATATATTGATCAATCTGTATGTATATATATATATGGTTAATGATAACTATAACTCTAATGGTTCATATTGAGTGGTTAGTAATTATAATATTACAATCAATGAATTGGATCTTCCAGTCCTCCACTATACTTCCCAATCAATAATAACAGTGAATGTACTGTGTGCATATATACATGGTTAATGCTAACTATAACTATAACCACTATAATATCTACAGTGATAACCAGTCATAGTTAACTATAGATACAGTATCTATAGTTTAATTAGTCATAGTTAACTATAGATATTACAATTATGACAAGTATAGCATGACAGTAGTAAACCAAAAACTAATGGCAATTGTTTGCTAAAATCAATAGTATCAATAATTAACATGGTTAATTACACGTATAGATACCACTATAGATATATAACCCTTCATAGTTACAAATCATATATATATAGTTTTAGTTATGGTCATTAGTCTGTAACGATTATGATCTGCTATAGAACAACGGTGAACACAAGTTAGCAATAGTTGATAGTTGATCACAATTAGTGAATGACAGATAATAACTAGTTCTTTTAGTAATGAGGTTGGTAACTTTTATTTCTCATCGTTTTGTATCCACGATCAGACATGATATGGGTTAAAAAACATGATTTCATGGGATTTCACCACAAGTTGATAGGAATAACAAAGACCATGGGTTAATATTGTCTGGTTACTGGATACCCCCTGGTAAACTAAGAGTTAGGTATGGAAAATCACCATCTTCAATAGGTAAATCAACTATTTCTATGTGCCATGGCTTCACTAGCAAACTGTTAGTCATTACCAGAGCGTCATCAACGAGATGAGCCACCCCGCCGTACTTCCCAAGCCACGCTGCAAAAAACACTTGAGCAGTGTTCAAAACCCCTGTTGGTTGATGATTAGTTCGGGGATTATACTACCGTTTATGTATTGGGGACTCTAATAATCCAAGAACGGGAAATCCCGTTCTTAACCAACCAGTATTTCATGGAATGATAATGATAGAGGGATAAACCAACACTGCTCAATCTGCTCACTTCTTCCGAGGCGAAGAACATCCAGTGCTTTCGGTGCAGGAGCAACGCTTGTGGCGATATCTGGAGGGCCTTCCGGGTCGCGAGGGTCAAGTCGATGTGCCGCTTGGGCGATGGGTGAAACGACCAGGAAAAATGTGGGTTGTTTAGCCATACGAAATGGGAGAAACATGTGGATATGACATGGGTATACAGCCAAGAGTCGCAAAAATAACCTATATCATAAAATAGGGTCATCAATAGTAATCAATATAACTTGAAAAATAACCAAGCAACAAAACAAGAAAGTATTGAAGTAGGTACAATGATGGAACTCATCAAGTCAACCCTTTTGTGTTGTTTTTTGGGTTACCCCCAATTTTTTTTATAGAACACCTTTCATATGCGATGAATTTTCACATGGAACCAACAAATGCAAACAAGGGTCATTTCAAATTGTCGAAACATTCTTAGGACTTAAAACCCATTTTGAGTTGCAAAGACATCAACTGTCAAAGGGTCTGTTTAAGGAGAAACACGGGCGCGATCCTTAGTTTTGAACCTGTGTGTTGGATACTGATGTAGTAGATCTTCCCAAGTAGGTGTTCCCAGAGGACCTTTGAAAGCGATTTTGGTGTTCAAAAATCACCAACTGAACCACAACCTGATCATTTCTATTACATATATGACAATCCAATTTTGGCGACATATATTAGATATTTCATATCCATGTCCATGGTTTTCTACCGGTGTCTCAATTTCTGACTGTGGTCAACTTTGGGAACCAAAGGTATCTCTTTGACATCGTCAACGACATGTACAACCACAAGTGGGGCCACAGCGTTGGAATGCTCAGTCTGGGTAGCGAGAGATGTGGAACTTCTTCTTCTGAGTTTTCCAGATTTACATAGATTTACCACACTTTTATCAGATGTAGACAGAAGCAAGGACGTCTAGGTGCAGAATTAGCCTAGCTATACAGAGAAATGATGGGACGCCAACATTTGTGCAAGTTTACCACATTTATACCGCATTTATACCACATTTATACCACGGTTATATCACATTTATACCACATTCATATCACATTTATACTATATTAATACCACATTTCTATCACATTTATATCACATTTATTTTGTTGAACTTTGACTTTACCACGCCATCTCCACGGCCAAAATTTGGGAGGAAACCCCCAGATTTTTTCGCCAGATGTTCCGTGGTTAAAAGAACACCTCCATCAGTGGAATGTACTCCCCCAGTTTTGTTGGTGAGATTCGATCTCCAGCTAGGGAAATGATAACGATCTTAGCATGTGACCAATCCAACCACTCTTGTGAGGGTCAATACGGTGAATCATCCCCATTTCAAAGCCGACATTTCAGGTTTTTTCAACCCAAATAGGGAATCACAGCGCCATGGGTCCTAAATTCTTTGCCAGACATTTTGGAGGAGAGTAGGACATACTAGAATTCAGGTTTGTGCCTCTGACATGTCATTAAGAAGCAGCGTCATATGCAGTGAAGTTGCTTCTTCCAACGTCAGCCCCAGTTCAGCGGTAGTTTCGCACTAGATATTCTAGCACATTCTCACTCATGTCATGTTTTTTGATGGTGTTTTTGCACCATTCAGATCCACCATTTGGTGTACTGTACCCTCTGGTAATTTAACATAGCTATTGAAAATGGCCATTTATAGTGGATTTACCCATTAAAAATGGTGATTTTCCATAGTTTTTTGTATGTTTACCAGAGGGTAGACACATTTAGATCATTTAGAGAAGACGACGCCCACACGTACCGGGCCAACAAAAAGGTGGGCATAGACTTCACCATGAAGATCTGCGACCTGGTCCGTGCTGCAGGGCGACGAATGGCTTGTAGCGAGGATGAACGAAACATGATGAGACATGGTGGGAGCTGCGGAAATGTATGACATATGAAGATGAAAAGGCATAGCATATATATATACACGATGATATAATATATGATATAACTAAAGATGTAACCACCGTTTTACTTTTAACTATTCAACTATAAGATAATGTCGATACATCACTTATGGCACTGCAAAGGAAATATGAAGATGAGATGTGGGCATAACGACCTCACTGCGACCTCGTTGGAATGATGGGAATTGTAAGGGGCAACTGCATGATTAAATTAATGTCACTTGAATGAAGCCACATACATTTCAGTGAATAAGCAACCAAAAGGGAGTGAGCAACAACCATTTTTGGTTCCGATGGAGCTTCACATGTTCTCATTGTGGGATCATGTCGTTCATATGCTATAGAAAAGGACAACCAAAGCAACAGTTACACTCCAGTAAATTAACATAGACCCTGAACATAGTGATTTTTGAGTGGAACCTCATCTTCCACAGCCCTTCTATTGCACGGTGCAATCCCCAGCGCCAGGAGATTGCCTGGATCTCTTGCATGAGCTGCGCCATGCTGCGGTGCTCTGGCAGAAAGAAGGTGATGGTGACTTCGCCGGGAAATGGGGTCATTTTTTGTGGGGAAAATGAGAATTACCCTCTGGTTATTTAACGTAGCCATGGAACATGGCCCATTTATAGATGGTTTACCTATTAAACATGGTGATTTTCCATGGCCATGTTAAATAACCAGATGGTAACCATGGTATTTTTTTGCGGGCACCCTATTTTCGAGCCTCTATGCTGGTTTAGCACTAACATGATTGAACATGATGATTTTACCAGGAATTATTTGAGAAATGAAAATTTGACCTAGAAAAAATGGCCATGGGGAAACATACCTACCCATCTTCCATTTGCAGGGATGAACACCCAGCCATCAGGTACCATGTTTTGACACATAGCCATGTCTTGTACTCCATGAAGATACACCAAACGTGCACCAACATTCGTTTCGGGCCTGGCGATCTTTCTCTTTCGAAAGAAATCCAAGGCGTTTGTGTCTTGCAACCTGTAGCCCTTCGGGCCTTCAGTCCAATCGAATTTAGCTCGATCCTTTTGTGAAAACTCGCTTTTGAGCCCTACTGATTTTCGTGACTCAAACGACCCTGAATGCGCCTGAGAAAGGGTAAAGAAGTGAAGGGTTGATTGAACAAAAATCAACTTTCATCATTGGCATCACCATGTCCATCTTCATTTGGCCTGCAAGAACAAAGAAGATAATTCAGCCTCCTGACACCGGCAGCTGCTATGTTGCAAGGTTGATGCCTGATGAAGAGATGTTGAAGTTGATGATCGTGCATAACGGCAGGCGAGACATTTTGGGGACCCCAAGGGCGACTTGTGCGAAAAAGGGGCTGGATGATTCTCAGGATTGCCCCTGGATCCAAAAAACTCAAAACACATCCCAGTTCTATTTAAAACCCAAACAAATCCAAGGATTTTTCATAAATTCCAAGGGATTTCCCCCCAAAAACATCCCCAAAAAACTGGGATTTTCCCGGATCCTGCCAGGCTGGGTGAGGCCGAGGGTGCCGTGGCCTGCGTCTCGAACTACGTCATGCTGCGGATTCCTTGCTTGGAGCGAGGGAACAGCCCGGTGGCGGACATCTGTAGCCGCGTGAAGTACGTGGCTTGGATGCAGTTTGAAGATGTTTGAAGGGGATTCTAAGGGAAGATCGGGATTTGGTGGGATTTTAGGGTGAATATACTAGGGAAATGTAGGGAATGGGGAGTAGGAATATAGTGGGATTTCAAATCAAAAATGGCTCAGAAATCACATGAAATAAGGGATAACATAGGAGTATTTGGGGGGATATGGGATTTTCACCATTTAAACCGATTCAGTCGGAATGTAATTATGAAGTAGTGGATTTTTTTGATTGGGATATAGTGGAAATCTAAGGGGATTTAGGGGTATAATTATACACCTTTTGGGGGTATATAAGTGTGAGTTGTTGGTTTTCCGGAAAAAATATAGATATTCTGTGTTTTCTAAAAGACATCTGAATATTACTGGGATATCAATGGGGATATTGATGGGGACATTAATCAATCGAGATACATAGATTTTAAGCATCAAATGAATGAGCACTGGCTGCGTTTGACACCCCATTTACTTGACCATGAGCTGAGAATCTATTAAACAAGCAGTATAGGTAAATGGCAACTTTTCGGGAAATTTGGTCATTCTATCTTTACATTTACCCTATTTTTCCCCTTGGTTCCGAGGCGTTGGGAGCACCCCTCAGGGGTGGATGGGTTGGTTTCAAGGAATTTTGGCCTGGAGGGCACACTATGCACTGAGTGGCTTGCTTCACTGTAAAAACTGTGTGGATACCCGGCCTGGTTATGTCAAACATAGCTATGGAACATGGCCATAGAAATAGTTGATTTTCCCATGAAACATGGTGATGTTCCAATGGAAATAGTTGATTTTCCCATGAAACATGGTGATTTTCCAATGGAAATAGTTGATTTTCCCATGAAACATGGTGATGTTCCAATGGAAATAGTTGATTTTCCCATGAAACATGGTGATGTTCCAATGGAAATAGTTGATTTTCCCATGAAACATGGTGATGTTCCAATGGAAATAGTTGATTTTCCCATGAAACATGGTGATTTTCCAATGGAAATAGTTGATTTTCCCATGAAACATGGTGATTTTCCAATAGTTCTATGAGTTTACCAGAGGGTAGCCATGCCCACGATCCCTTCGCGCCACTGAGATGGTGACGCATGGGCACTTCAGTCGACCCAGAAGCACCGAGCAAGCACATGTGACTCGGCAGACCGGGGCACACCGGGGAAAGGCGACAGGATATGGGGAGATTGGCCCAGAAAAAAATGGGGATACCCTCTGGTTATGTCAAAATAGCTATTGAAAATGGCCATAGAAATAGTGAGTTTTCCCATGAAAAATGGTGATTTTCAATAGCTATGTGACAGTTTACCAGAGGGTAAAAAGCAAAGAAACATGGGAATATGCCCTTTGGAACATGCACAACTACAAACATGGGAACACATGTGACCTGCAAAACTGAGCGATCGGCCAGCCAAAATTGAATATCAGGTAGGCCGCCAAGAAATGATCGGTCGACTGGGCACACAGACACTCAAAACATACGCCGACACTCTACACCAAACATAGGGAGTCTCCAAAGCCAGGCTAGTTGGAGGATCTTCGCAAGGGCTGCACCATCAATTGGATGACTCAAGAAATCCAACTTTAGGATTTATAGTTTGTCCATCTTTACTTGGCTTTGTCAAAAATACGGTGCCGCTCAAATTGTCAAAGCATTGGTAAATCTCATGAATCATCGCCATTCGTTTCTATTAATATTAAGCTATAGTCATAAATTGGGGGGTATAGCCTATTTTCACACCCAGTCCCCAGTTGCTTGGTAACAGAAATTTCTTCTGCTGGTGGAATCCCCCCGTTTTTTGCGGCTGGAATTCAATCTGTTTGCTGGTGCAACAACGTGTGCCACACATGGATATGTTTACTGTATCTTTATCAACCAAGAGGGACGTGCTGCCACGATATCCCGGCCACTTTCCTGCAAATCTAGATGTTTGTCTCTAGTAAACCATCTCAGTCATCTCATTTGGGACCAAATGTTCATCATATTTTGGCCTATTCCCACATCATGTGTTTCTGCACCTTGCGAACCAACACATCAAATCTTGGATCAAATCAGCCTTGATTCCGGCAATGGTTTCGGCTAGCGTGACTCATACAGTTCTTCTCCGGACTGATGGCAATGCTGTTGCTGTTGGAGACAACGGACACGGACGATGCAACATCCCAGCCTTGGATGAGGGAATGTTATACACACAGATTTCTGCAGGCGGGGTCATGCAGTGCTTCTGTGGAGTGATGGCAGTGCTGTTGCTGTTGGAAATAATGATTAAATAATGATTATGGACAATGCAGCATTCCATTGCCAGAGCCGGGAATTTGCTATGTTGGTGATTTGACATGTGGCAGAGACCTAGTTTTACAACTAGAGGCTGTGGTGGAGGATGATGCAGTCACCCTGTTTTTTGCTCGACTTTGGTTGGGGAAGAACGCCTTCGTTTGACAGCCGGAGGCTTTGATTCGGATAGCCCGTGAGTTGAAGATGAACCTTCCAGATCTTCACCTCGTCCTGCCAAATTGGGCTATTGTTGGCCAAACTCTGCCGTGCAAATCCCGCCGCCTTGGTTGCCGAGGTGACTCAAAGTACACAGCACCCGCGACCTTGACATAGACATAGTTTCTAAACTACAGCCAGTGCCTGGAGGATGAAGCATGTGCTGCAAGAATGGTCTCATTTTGTTAGAAAATGAATGTTAGTTGAACGTGTTTGCAGCCACCGTCCCAACAAAAACAAGGCCATCAGAGATCCTTGCTTTGTTCAAACACGTTTGCTTTATCAAGAGCAACAGATAAGCGTTGCGCGTTCAGGAGACGCTACTGATTATGTGTTCGCAAACTGACAGGTACCCATATAGGCACTCCAAAACTTACTGGTGCTAAACGCAGGGAATTTTCGGGAATGATCCCAGTCATCACTAGTAATAATGTGTAATGTCATCATCCCAGCATCCCCCAGCAACCCATCCAGCAACCCGACGTAAAACGCACCAGTAAGAATATATAGGTACTGATCATCTTGGATCTTTGGCCTTGACCGAAGCCAGTTGGATGGTTAAGCCCTCATTGCCCATGGTAGCCTCGTAACTGGAATTTGTGGTTCTCATGACCAGCCAGCCAGCTATCCATATGGTATTCAACATTTATGCAGACTTCTTCGGGGTCATATCATGTTGTCAAATTGAAATTCTGTTTGGGTAGCATTGTTTCTGGTGAAATCACAATCAAAATGCTGGTGACACAACAGTGCTGGTGAAATCCACATATTGGTCAAACAATGTTCAACATGCAGGTTAAACATGGTTAAACCTGGAACATGTTTTTTCCATATATTGGGAACAATAATCCCATTCGACTATATTCGACTCATATTTTTCAGAGGGGTAGGTATACCACCAACCAGCCCATTTGTTGCCTTTGTCAAATCCTCAGTTTTCGGGTTGTGGTTTGCCACGAAGCCGCGCCTGTCCCATTTCGAGGCGCGTTTGAACATCGGCGGCATGGCCGCTCGGCGACTCTTTCTTTTCGTCGAAAGGTGGTGACGGGTGAATGGCAGTCAGCACTGAATGATGGTTACGGCATGTTACTGCAAGATGGAGGTTTCTTAAAATGAGGAATCCCCAAAACAATAGGTTTCAATACTGGATTTTTGGACACCTCTATAATTCCTCTATATATAACTGGATTTAATCTGATTTAATGAGATGGACCATATGTAGTAGCGAAAATGATTCATATGACATAGTCTAACTTTCCAAGGACACCGACTTTAGTGCCATGAAGCTTCATCTTGAGGTTGACGAACATCCCAAAATATTGGTCCCTTATCATCCCAAGGTGGGGGATGATGACTGGGAATGGTTTATATTAATACCACCTATTAAAAATGTTGATGAATATTTGGGGATGGTGCAGATGGCATTGTATAAAACCCACATAAAAAAATCAATTTTTTGGAAGTGAAGAACCTACCTTTTTTCTTCCATTTTCTTCCATCGAAGTCAGTTCTTTTTCCCCAGATTGGCACCGATGGCAACTTCGTGCAACTCTTCAAGACGGGGCGGGGGAGGCGGGGATTGAGGTCGGACTTCGCAGCTTTTCTTAGGGATTGGTTTTGATGGAAAGTTTACCAGACCGGAACCCCCCCATATTTGATGGGAAAGAGCATGTTTTTCTTTGGATTGGTTTCAAGTTTTAAGGTGGAAATTTTACCAGACCGGAACCCCCCTCCATAATTGGTGGAAAATGATGAGAAAAACCCAAGATTTGATGGGAAACACCGGGAAAAACCTGGAAAAACTGGGAACAACTGTGTTTTTTTTGTTGATGCTCTCTTTCATGATCCCACCGGCAGGGATCCAAGCTGGTCACGGGCGCCCTACGTCATTCAGCTGCGGATGGACAATGAAGGCGGAATTTGGTGCGTGGCACGGCACATCAAGGGGGTAGCCATGGGTAGCCCAATAGCTGGATGGTTTATTTCATGGAACATCCCATGAACATGGATGATAACTGGGGGTAGCCATTATGTTTTTTTGTCTGAAAATCTAGGGGAAAAAGTCATTCCATCCACTGGTGAATCAAGATCATTTTCCTTCATTTTTCCTATCGAAATCATCATTTTTGGAGGTCATTGTGATTAATTATGTCCCAGTTTCAGACAAACCGAACAAGTAGTCAATGAAAAAAAAGTAGAACTATAACAACAAAATTAGTTGTTAAGTAGTCAATCCTAATGATGTTTCAAGACTAAAGTCGTAGTCAATCCTTTCCGAAGTCGAAGTTTCCACACGGAACACCAGGATGAAATGGACGGTTTTCGGAGAATTTTTTGGGCGAAACTGATGTGGGTTGGATGACCATTCCGTGTTTAATAGGTGTTTTTCATCCCCAAGTTTTATAGGTCAAAGCATCAAGTTATCTAGGTTTTTAATTTCCATTCCTGATTATATTTAATCATTTAATCCTGAAGAAATGGGCCCCCTCTACATCAACAATTACAATGTTTTGTATGGTAATAAGCAACTAGATGTGCATCCTCGTGGTTAGTAACTCATAATTCACTGGGGTGTATCATGGTGTATCAATGGTTATGAAGCACACACCAATTGGTTATCAAGCACACACCAATTGGTACAGTCCAAGAAAAACCAGTAGATCAGAACATTCCCTTCTTTGCCTGTCCTGCTCACTATAAAAGGGCCCTGACTCTCTGATACTGCTCTTGGGACGTAGCTCTACTTGTTTTGTCGCGCTGGAGACTTTTTTTGGGCCCTTTTGGGATTTCATCCTGACCCCGGGTGGCGTTTCTGGTGGGCCCCCGGACATTTGGGGTGCAACAGGTTTTTCCGAATCGAAGTAAAACAGCTTCCACCCAGGTACAGCTTTTTGTGCGTGATTTCCCCAGGATTGATAACTATGATCTTCCAAGTGTCATAAACCACCATAGAAATAGTGATGTCAGTCAAGGTCAAAGACTTCAAGTGCCACGAGTTTCTGGACCCAACCACCTTCTGGAGAGCTGCCACTCGTGCACCAATGGGCGAAACTCTGAGCAAAGATGTGAGGCTTGACACATTGGAAGATGATAGTTGTGTGGCTACCCAAAAAAAACAAAAAAACATGGGACAAGCTTACTTAATTATCTTAATTCCACACGCATTTCATTGAATCACATGCTCTACATTGCTCCAAACTCCAGACGTGGGACATGGCATTTTCCAGGATTTTGTGGAGTTCCACCTTGGTTGTTTTTGATCAGTAAATTGGCTTATGGTGAAGCAAGAGGTTGCTCATCATCTATCCAGGTGCAGATCTTCAGATAAAATCCTGCCTGTGAAAATTGGCTGAAACCCAGGGGTTGGTCCGCATCCACTCTTGACTATCACAATGATAGTGTGTTCAAATGTTCTCCCATACCATATTATTCTATCATATTCTATCAATCCTCATTTCATCACTGGCCCATTTACCATGTGGTTGGTTATTCAACATAGCCATGGAAAATCACCATTTTTAATAGGTAAAACAACTATAAATGGGCCATTTTCAATGGCTATGTTAAATAACCAGAGGGTAAGTGCCAAAGATGGACACACCACCGGCCTTTCTTCTGAGATTTTTTTCGCAGACATAAATAAAGCCTCTAATAGTCGACCAGTTCTTGGGTACCTGGTGCAGTCAGCAGCTGAAATGTGCCCGGATTTGATTTTGAATGGCATCAACAATGGAGCAGTGTTCAAAATCACTGTTGGTTGATGACTTCATACCCCGCATATACAGGGGATGATCATGGACTCCCACGATATAACCCAACTATCATTAATCCATGATAATCCCCAAGGATTATCCAATAGTGGGGGATTTCCATTGATAATCCCCCACTATTGGTGAACGGATTATCCAATTTATAATCCATATAGTATAGCCATGATCATCCAATAAATCCAATTCATATAATCCGTTGTTAGTAGGATTTCCAACCAATATAGCTTGTAATATCTTGGGAAATCCATTCTTACCCAACCCGTTTTTTTTTTGGGACGACCATGGGGCAACCGCTGTGCAACCGAGGCGGTGGCTGCGGCGCAAGAGATCGCTGAAGGAAACTTCACCACGCCTGTGGCTCCCGTGGCGGCCTGAATCCTTGACCAAAAAAAGCGGCTGAGAAAACAGTTGATTGTTTCTGGGTAAATTATAACGACCTCATTGCGACCTCACTGGAATCATGGTTAGTAAGGGAATCATCCCCAAATGGCCTTAATTCAGGTTAGTGAAATATTATAATTTACCTAGATTGTTTGCAAAATGAACCATTCAGAAACTTAACTGTAGCTGCTGAATGGCCGTCTTGTCGGGGTTTTCAGTCCGTGAAGGCTTCAGTTGGCTGTGGGCCGTTCCATTGCTGGGGACGTTTTACACCCCGCCTGGGGGCTGCCTGGTGGATCAGCCCAAAAAAAAGCCGTCTTGGAGGATTTGGGCACCTCGGGGATCCCCCAAGCATCCCCGAATTGATGGCTTTTGGCCAGAAGTTGGGGGCTACCCTCTGCTTATTTAACATAGCTATAGAAAATCACTATTTTTAATAGGTAAACCATCGATAAATGGTTCATTTTCCATGGCTATGTTAAATAACCAGAGGCTACATCTGATCCATCTTTGGACAACCCCAAGTGGTGAGTTATTGAAAAGTGGCCATGATCAGCCAAGATGGTCTCGGGGATGGCAGCTGAACGTCGAACACATGGTGGAACACCAAGGTTGGACGACTGCGAAAGACGGAAAATGGTTAGAAATGCATCACAAGATCAGATAGCAGTAATCCTGAGATCAATCCAAACGTCTTGTACTTATGCAATCTTATATAATTAGACTATATTAGACTACTATATACCCAACCATTTGTTGATTATTCCTGTAAGTCACAGGCAAAATCCATGGAGCTAAGACAGTCGGCTGACAAATAAAACTGGGTAGACCTTGGTGCAGGTGAAGAGCTTGTTTGTTTCTTCTATCCAACATCACTGGTTGGTGGTTTGGAACATTTAGATTATTTTTCCATATTAGGAATAATAATTCCAACTGACTTTCATATTTTTCAGAGGGGTTGAAACCACCAACCAGATCAGCTATGAACAAAACAACTTCTATTTGGGTTCATCAGTTTGTCCAAACGAAGTAGGGTATACCGGTATACTACTCCAATTCCAATTCCACTGGTCAATCATCAACTTCACCATGAACAACCGGAACTTTTCGGGGGACCCATAAAAAGACACACCCAGGGCCATCTGCCTCTGTCTGCAGTGGTGTCCACCGTTGTGTCTCACTTATGCGGCCGTGAGCTGCAACACATAAGGCTGAGGCCATGCACAAAAGGGTGTTGGGGGCCTGGGACGGAGAACGTAACAGCATTTAGGAATTTGTGGCTTGACCAACCGCTGCGATACCGTGGGTACTTAAATATTAAATGGTCATCAGGCATAATGTCTGCATGTCGTATACAGGACCACTTTTTTTCAGGCGATCAAAACTGGGCTTGGTTCAGATTAAACTTGGGGTAGAGATGGGTTTGGTTCAAATTATCGAAACCCCAACAACGGATGATTTATATATGCTTCAGATTCTGAAATTCGTGGATCAGCGGTCGTACCTCAAGTTTGACCCAAATCCTGGGTCCCGATGATGTTCAAGCCTTTTGAGGTTGAAACTTCCAAAGCTTTTGTGAGCCCCTTGTAGCTGCGTCCTTTCAGTTTGGCCAAACTTCTGGTGCTGACTCCTTTTCATCACCAAGTCACAGAGGTCCGTCGTCTCAGGATTTTGATTGGTAGCCCATGTGACCAGGAATGTTATGGATATTTCCATTTGGGTTGTGGTTCCACATTATATATATACACATATATGTACATACATACATACATACATACATACATACATATATATATATATACACACGACATATATATATATATACTACATATATGTATAGATGTCTCGTATTTTCTGGTCTACTGAGTCTACCCGGGATGATGATGGACATACTTTGCATGGCTCAACCACCGACCCAGGCCCCTCAGGCTGTGCATTTTGCGGCAAAAACGAATGACTGGAACATTAAACAACGAACATCAACGATAGAAAATGAATTTTACCAAGTTTACTCAGTTTACTCAGTTAGAAACACCATTGCTATGATTTTTTAAATCAATTTTTACCAAACTATGTGATATCAAAATGCCTTAGCCATTCTTTTCCTTTTGGTTAGTCCATCCTTTGTGCCTGCCATGGCCTCGCCACAAGGCGGGGGTATTACCAAGGATTTTGTTAACCCCTAGTCTATTCACAGGGGGCCATAGGGGGGTACCAATTTCAGTGATTTATGATAATTTATCACGTTTTTTTTTGGGGGTAACCCATCAGGGTGAATTAATTTGGTGTTGACATAGTGGCTCAAAGCGAAAAAAATGGCCGAAACTGCATTTTGGGATGTTTGAATACTAGAAAAGGCATTTTTTTTGTTTTTCTTTTTTTGAATCTATTGTGAGTTCCACTGGGCTAAAAGCCCCAGATCATGTTTTGGAGCCCTTGGGTTTGGGTACGAATCCCAAAACCATGTTTGAGTGGTGTGTTTTAGACGTCCAAGTTACTTTATTTTGTGAAGTAATGTATACATTTTTAAATTCAAATGACTGATTAGTTAAGAATGACAGACTTACAGTTGTAAGTTTACAAGTCCGAAGCAACGGGGTTAATTACAACCTTTGATGGCTAAGACCCAATGAACACTATCATTGATCTAGTACGGTTAAGTTGGTTTTGTTACATTCAGTAACTTGAAGTGACCAAAAAGATAGAAACGTAATGAAAATCCCGTTTTTTGAGATGGCTTTAGTATGATTTCACCGCATTTCACCAACATTTTTTCACCTTTTTGTTGGGGGTTTGCTGTAGCTAAGGCCCAACCCTTGATTGCTTAAATCCACCAGAGTGGGCCCTGAGGTCCTCCCCCGGAACGGCGCGATGGGCTGCTCCACGAGGTGAACCGGGAAAGCGGGGAGATCTGAGATCATGCAGAAGATGTATTACGTGGTCTTCAATTCTATCATTTTCTATCATTCTATGATTTAGTGATTTATTATATATGAATATATATTAGATTATATATTATATTATATTATATATATAATATTTTATTATATATTATATATATTATATTTTATTATATATTATATTATATATATATTATATATATTATATATTATATATATATTATATTTTATTATATATTATATATATTATATTTTATTATATATTATATATATTATATTTTATTATATATTATATTATATATATTATATATATTATATTTTATTATATATTATATATATATTATATTTTATTATATATTATATTATATATTATATTATATATTATATATATTATATTTTATTATATATTATATTATATATTTTATTATATATTATATTATATATTTTATTATATATTATATTATATATTTTTATTATATATTATATTATATATTATATTATATTATATATATATTTTCGTATATATCATATTGTATATTATATTATCTTATATATTATATTATATATTATATATATATTATATTTTATTATATATTTTATTATATATTATATTATATATTTTATTATATATTATATTATATATTATATTATATATTATATATATATATTATATTTTATTATATATTTTATTATATATTATATTATATATTTTATTATATATTATATTATATATTTTGTTATATATTATATTATATATTATATTATATATTATATTATATTATATATTATATTATATATTATATATTATATTATATATTATATATTATATATTATATTTTATTAGACTATATATTATATTATATATTATATTATATTATATTATATTGTATTGTATTATATATCTTATTAAATATTATATTATATTAGATATATTACATAAATTATATAACATAATTATATCATATTATATTATACAGTATTATATTATATTATGTTATATTATTATTATATATATATACACATATATTTAAATACACTATATTATGTTTTTTTTTTATTAATATATTATATTGGATTATATTATATTATATTATACTATATTATATTACATTATACTATATAATATTATATTATACTATATCATATTCTATTATATTATATTTTATTATATGGTATTATATTATATTATATTTCATTTTATGATATTATATATACTAGATTATATATACATAATATATATATATATAGACGTAACAAAATATTTATAATTGTGCGAGTTTTGCATGTTGTTTTTCAAGTTTTTGGGTTCATTGAAGTCATTGACCTCCTGGTGATGGTCCACAACTTGATTTTCTCTATGCTGCAGGCACACCTGGAGCGGATGGTAGTTTCACCGTCAGAAGCATGGTCAGAAACTAATGAATACCATGATTTGGTTGGTGATATTTCCATGAAAACCGCACTTTTCAGTGCTGACTTTTGATTTGATGGGGGATATCACCAACCAAATCATGGTATTAGAAGGGGGATATTTTAAAGGGAGTTACTGATTTGATATGATTTGATATGATTTGAAGGGGGATATCTAAAGTCAGCAACTTTGGTGACTCCATTGGATGCCATCCCATCCATGTCATGACCATCCCCGCAGGAATAAATTACGATTCAGAAACTTTACCCGATTCAGCAACTCCGATTCAGCAACTCCGATTCAGAAACTCCAAGGATTCAGAAACTCCGGGTTGTCCCGATTCAGAAACTCCACCTTGTCCCGATTCAGCAACTCCACCCTGTTCCGATTCAGCAACTCCACCCTGTGCCGATTCAGCAACTCCACCCTGTCCCGATTCAGCAACTCCACCCTGTCCCGATTCAGCAACTCCACCCTGTCCCGATTCAGCAACTCCACCCTGTCCCGATTCAGCAACTCCACCCTGTCCCGATTCAGCAACTCCACCCTGTCCCGATTCAGCAACTCCACCCTGTCCCGATTCAGCAACTCCACCCTGTCCCGATTCAGCAACTCCACCCTGTCCCGATTCAGCAACTCCACCCTGTCCCGATTCCGCAACTCCACCCCCTCCCGATTCAGCAACTCCACCCTGTTCCGATTCAGCAACTCCACCCTGTCCCGATTCAGC